GACCCCTTGTTCACCCCCCAGCCCCCCGACAGCACGTACGTGTGTAATAGTCCACTAGTTCGTGCAAGCTGCTGAAGGTGACGCGGGGCGAGATGTAGTACCCCCCGTTGTCCATGTTGCGGATCTTGTAGTGCTTCACCGTCTCACCCTGGTTCTGGTCAAAGTCCCTCACCGACAGTGAGTAGGAGCCTGGGGAGACGGGGGACCATGTGGGTGCAGGACCCCAACACTCCTCCTGTGCTTCCCAGCACCTTTCCCAGTGCTTGCAGCAGGAGATGCCAGCAGGACCCACAGGACGGTACCTTTGGAGGTCTCGCTCTCCCGGATGAGGAAGGAGCCGTGTGTGTTGCCCGACGCCAGGAGCTGCCGCTCCGCATCCTTGCGGCTGACATTTTTGAAGAACCACCTGGGGACACGGAGCAGGGTTAGGGCTGGGGGAACTCAGGCCACCTTCCCCCACCAGCACTTCAGGGGATGCTCCCAGCCACCTTCCTCCTGTGCTGGCACAGTCTGTGCCGGGGCACGACTCCTACTCAACCCCTACTCACGGCTCGGGCTCCAGGCTGTTCACCAGGGCCACGAAGTTGTAGGGGATCAAACCCTCCTGGCCAGTGGTTTCCACCACCCCCCGCTCCTGCAAGGATATAGTGAGGTGAGACCCCCCCCCAGCTGGCAGGACCCCGCACGGACCCCCCAGCAGCACCGGGATGCCAGCTGGGGAGCCACGGGGTCATGCTGGCACGGGTGCTGGGACGCCATCAGCGCTCGCTCACTCTTCCAAGATTCGGAGCTTCTCGCCCTTCCGCAGCCCCAGGTCTCCGTCGTGCTTGGGCTCGTAGTTGTACAGAGCCACCACCAGTTTATCTGGGAGGACAAGCGGAGGGGCAGGGTGGCAGTGGCCACCTCGAGGGGTGTCTACAGCTGTCCCCCACCGCAGCTGGACCTTACCTTGCAGGGGGGAACACGGCGGAGACGTGGCCTCGTAGGACACCAGGGGGTCTTGCACCTCGGAGCCGTTGCGGATCAGCCTCTGCGAGGGGGTGAGAAGCCCAGTGAGCCCTCGCCTTCCTGGGATTTGGCCATCCCAAGGCCACCTCTGGAGGTGTTTGGCCACTGAGACTGGAGACGGAGGGTCCCCTCGCCCCCTCCTCACCTGGCGCTTGCTGTCGGGCTCAATGGGGTAGTTGCAGTGCTCGCAAATGTCGATGTTCTCGATCCAGTCCTCGTCGTAGTCCGAGCTGCAGCAGCAGCCCATGGGGGCTGGCCGGGGGGTTTTTTTAGGTGGTGAGGGAAGCCTTCGCACCCAGCCCCAGCCTCTCCTGACTGTGTCACCAGCCATATATTCTCCTAATTTTGTTCTGGCTTTGTTAATTAAGAACACTGAAGGCAATTAGTCCCCAGCCTGAGGCTCCCCTTTCCCATGGGCACAGCCTGGCGTTGCCTCCTCCGCCAGCTCCTTCCCACCTTGCAGCCCTCAGGCTGATCCCTACGTTCTCCATGGAGGTAACGATCTCATCACGAATGTCCCGTTAGCGACGAACCCGGCCCTGCCACGCGTGTTTGACGAGGTCTGGCTGGACCAGACACCTCCCCAGCTGTGAAAGCAGTTCCTGGGGTCAGAGGCGGATGCGAGCGCTCACCCACCCACGCTGCATCGCCTCCCATTTCCTTCTCCCTTGAGGCTCTCGTTGGCCTCCCCCCGTGCATTCGGCCCCGTCGCTGTGCTCCTCTCTCCCACGTCAGGGATGTGCTTTAAACCCCCATCCCTGCTTGGGGTCCCCTCTTCCTCAGCAGCTCCCCTCGAAACATCAAGGACCACCCAACCTCGGCCATCAGCCCTGGCCACGGTGATGCCAAGCTGGTGCAGGACTGTGCCCCAGAATCCCCGGCACCACAGCGTGGGCACCGGGGCAGCCTGGCAGTGATGCCACAAGCATCACGTGGGCTCTGCAAACCACCCGGGCAGCTCTCACCTTCCCAGCAAAAGCCGAGCGTGGCACGGAGCCGGGAGCCCCGGCAGTGCGTCACATGGAAACGGCAGCCCACGGCCCTGGAAAAAGCTCTTCTGCAGAAACCCCCAC